TGAAACAAAATTATTTGTTGACGTCTTCTGACTAGCTTAGGCCCAAATTGTAAACGTACAAGTTCGCAGGCCTAGCCTAGGCCCAAAAGTTGCACGTTATTTTGGGGGTCATTTTATCCAACAAATAAACCTATATTACACATCTAATTTTGGGTAGTAAACTTACATGCTGGCATATAGAGTACATTGAGTTGTAGTTGGTACATTTTTTACTGACTCCAGTAACCCAATAAATACTTCAGACCCCTGCTCCACATCACTGTTTACTTGGGCTAATAATAATTTGTGCATGTAGTAATATGGTAGTGTTTGATTATACGTTTGTATTTACTATTTTTAAATTGGTGCATCACAACCACCAAGTAACATTCTGAGATATGACCAATCAGTCCAAAAATGGTTATTCTAAAACCTTTTGTTAACACCATCATCAAATGTCATATTTCCAAAGTGTCCCTATTTAGAAACTATTGGACTTATTTTTGGCCAAAAACTTCTGCGTTTCCTTTCTGTCCTAATATCCCTCTTTTTTTAGGTGCTCCATGTTGTCTGTGTTTCTAACGGTATTGTAACAGACTCCATTCCCTTATGTTTGGCTGTCCGTAACCCCTTGTTTGTCTCCCAAATGACCGGTGTGGAGGGGAGCAATTTAGAAAATGGTGAGTTTGTGTGTGTGTGTGTGTGTGTCTCTGACTGTGTGTGTGTTGGTCACTGTTGCATTGGCTGCGACTGGACAGTGGAGTGCCTGGAGGCAAGCAACGCTATGTCACATTCTGACGTGACATCGACGTGCTCCACCTTCACAGGGTTTCAAGAAGTAGCGGAAGGATCAGATTTGGCACAGGGTGCGGACGGCGCCATTTGGGGTATACCAGAGGCCGGACTCCGGAGTCGCATACTGGCAGTGGCAATGTGAGTAGAGTCTGCTAGTTGGCTGGGGGGGTAGTGCTGGGATTTAGTAGAGAGGGATGCTGGCTTTTTTCTTTTATACTGTACTTTTCAAAATAAACCTACGTTTCTATAAAAATGTAAGGTGTGGTTTTTTTTGCGGCCCACATAAACTTAAAGGAACACTATAGTCACCTAAATTACTTTAGCCAAATAAAGCAGTTTTAGTGTATAGATCATTCCCCTTCAATTTCACTGCTTAATTCATTGTCATTTAGGAGTTAAATCACTTTGTTTCTGTTTATGCAGCCCTAGCCACACCTCCCCTGGCTATGATTGACAGAGCCTGCATAAAAAAAAAAACTGGTTTCACTTTCAAACAGATGTAATTTACCTTAAATAATTGTATCTCAATCTCTAAATTGAACTTTAATCACATACAGGAGGCTCTTGCAGGGTCTAGCAAACTATTAACATAGCAGGGGATAAGAAAATCTTAATTAAACAGAACTTGCAATAAAGAAAGCCTAAATAGGGCTCTCTTTACAGGAAGTGTTTATGGAAGGCTGTGCAAGTCACATGCAGGGAGGTGTGACTAGGGTTCATAAACAAATGGATTTAACTCCTAAATGGCAGAGGATTGAGCAGTGAGGCTGCAGGGGCATGTTCTATACACCAAAACTGCTTCATTAAACTAAAATTGTTCAGGTGACTATAGTGTCCCTTTAAACATTGTTTATGTGGCCCGTGCTAGACTTTGAGTTTGACATGCTTGTAGTAGACCATTAGAACTTTAGAGCTACATGTTTATGAGTGAAAGAATAACTAAGTATGCAATTGCATGGTTTTGTATACAGTTTTTATTAAAATTTGCAGCCATTTGTGTAATAACAAACTCCAGGGGCATATAATTGCTGGTTGAGTGACAGTTATCACACTGACATCTTAGGTGTAATATGAAAAATTATCTCATAGAAATCATGTAATACTTAGAAACATAAGCAAAATAATTGGCAGATATAAATCATGCTGCAAGTAGTGATGTCCCGAACTGTCCGCCAAACGGTTCGCCGCGGACTCCAGTCAGCTGACACATTCCAGCCAATCAGCAGCAGACCCTCTCTCCCAGACCCTCCCACCTCCTGAACAGCATCCATTTTGAAGCTGCATTCTTAGTGAGCTGTCTGGGAGGGAGGGTCTGCTGCTGATTGGCTGGAATGTGTCAGCTGACTGGACATGTGTGTATGTATATGTATGTGTGTGTGTGTGTGTGTATATATATATATTCTTTACTGACAAAATGAACGATCCTGCTCTGACTTGCATTTATTAGTCTAGTTTTATAACAGGTCTATACATTTTACTTTATGTATTGCACATATATAATCTTCACAAAAGGTATGTTAAAGGGACACTATAGTCACCAGAACAACTACAGCTTATTGAATTTATTCTGGTGAGTAGAATCATTACCTTCAGGCTTTTTGCTGTAAACACTGTATTTTCAGAGAAAATGCAGTGTTTAAATTACAGCCTAGTGATAACTTCACTGGCCACTCCTCAGATGGCTGTTAGAGATTCTTCCTGGGTCATGGCTGCCTAAAATGCATCCATTTATTCAGTGTCTTCTCCCTCTGCATGCAGACACTGAACTTTCCTCATAGAGATTCGTTGATTCAATTCATCTCTATGAGGAGATGCTGATTGGACAGGGCTATGTTTGAATCGTGCAGGCTCTGCCCCGATCTGCCTCTTTGTCACTCTCAGGCAATCCTATGGGGAAGCATTGTGATTGGATCAGGCTGCCACGTCTGATGATGTCAGAAGACAGCTTGTTTTTCTGAGGCAAACAGCATGCAGAGTTACAGCTTCAGGCTTGAATAAAAGTAAGATTTTACTATTTTTAGGGAGGCATGAGGGGCCCAGGGTGGATCGATGGTGGTTTTAACACTATAGGGTCAGGAATACATGTTTGTGTATCCTGACCCTATAGTGATCCTTTAATTTGTTGTTTCTGTGTTTGCTCAATGAGAAAAAAAAAAGACTAAAAGTGGCTCAGCTGCAAACCTCATGGTAATGGCAATAAAAGAAACAGAAATACTCAGGACCGCAGAATCTGACATTTTCAATATTGTGACTTGAATACTGCTAGGATTATTTGAAATTCCTAGAAACATTCTACTGACAAGTCATCTGGAAAGCAGAGTCTTTATTGAAGTGAACTGAGATTCTTCTCAGCACTTCTTTTGTACTTAAATGTGAATAACGCACAGTTTTCATCATTTGTTCTTTTTGAGTATTTTTATTGCAGTCGGCATATAGCAATCAACAGCACTTACAGTTTAGCAGCAGTGGTAATCCTATACCAGATTCTCCTGTCTCACTCGTGTCACTTGATGCTCATTTAGATGGAAGCTACATTTGTCTAAATATTAAACCATTGAGTAAAACACTGAAATCACATTTAACGTGTGTTAACATTCTCATGTGATTCTTTGTTTTCCAGTATTTACAGAAAGTACCATTCCAGTTTTGTGTTCCTTGTTTTCTGACTCAAATCTTCAGTGGATTAACAAAATGAATTGGCTAAGGTTATCAGTAATGATTTCTTTTTATGCATCCCAGTAATATTGCCTTTAATTAGATTTTTGGCGGAGGAGACCTCCCACAAAGCCTCCTAGGGACATAAACTCTCTGTTAAGGTGCTTTTAATATAAAATATTTGTCTCTAAACATCTTTTATCTTGTTTGCAATGTCCTACTTTTTTGGATCAACTAGCAACAAATGGGGTTTATGGTTCACAACAGATGGATAGAGTTAGTCATCCCTGCCCTGTTACGTCTATATTTACTTGATCTAGACATCAATGGTCGTCTCAGTTAATTGCTTTGAAAAGCCTATACACCTTTACTGTATGCTTTTTTATAGCTCTAGGTAATGACCATGGAGCAGTTCTATTCTTCATTCTTTGGTATTTAGTATAAAAATTAAAAAATTCAAGTGGATTTTTTTTTGAAGATAAAAAAAATTAGTTCAGCTCATGCACTGTGGCCAAATTAGTGAGAGGTGGAAAGTCTGCAGCGCTGTGACCTAACACACTGTGTCATGTCTGTTCCACTTCCTGACAGAGCTAATTTGTTTATAGGCGTCGCTGTCACATCAAAGAATCGACCTGTTCCCTAATTATCCATTATCCTCTCTGAGGTCTGTGCCAGCGTCATTTGCAGGGTTAAACCATTGCGTTTATTCCCCGTGTATATTACCTATTATGTTTAATACATGGTGACATGCAGCGTGTATAAAAATATTAATTAATCCATAACATCTCAATGCTTTCTTCACTGAAAAGGCTCTAAAGCTGTTTATGCTAGGGCAGGCTTGTCTGGCGAACAAAATAGAAAAGATTAAAAAATAGCCCTTTCTTGGATCAGTGATTCTATAATTTTACAGGGGTGAGCTTTGTCTTATGTGTTCAATTAAAAAAATGATGCATATGGCAGTGACATAATGGGAAACATTTTCTCTGAAAACCATTCCCAGAGAATAAGTCAGTGATCATGATCTGTAGGCAAGCTGCAACAAATGCAATGAAATTATTATTTAACAGCTGGAGAGGGGGTTCAGCTAGTAAATACACAAATATAATGATGTGTTCACACTATCCCAAGCTCAACCCTAGTTTTAAAAAAATAAAAACTGGGATGCAGGAATAGGAATCTCAAATGTCTGTACTCAGTAGGTCTGTTGTGTAGTGTAAATAAATTAATTTGACTTGCTGTACAAATTGTATCGGTAGTTCATAAAGTTGTCTAAAAAATCTTGGCAAGCTTCATGTCCACTGCTCATGTTCACTGCTTCAGTGACTTGTTCACGTAATCCGCTTCCATTGAGCCTCCTTTCCTGGAGAGATCTTTTATTTATCTACGCTCCATGTCCTGTATGGCGTTATCTTAATCTAGCTGTAAATAATCTAGTTTAGGTGTATATAATGTATGTCATCGCAATCACCCCGCCTCACCTCTAAATAGATGTAACAGGTCTCAAATTTCCCTGCCTGGTGATCTGTCTCAAAGCTAATTTTAGAAAGTGGTTTAGCTCCGTCTTTTATACAGTTAGGTGTTGTGACGAACTGAATTTCACCACTGACTTTTGGAGGGGCCTGTTTGCCAGCCTTTTACCCTGTGACTATGGCCCCTTTAATAGACCTGGCTAAACTACTTCACACAGGCTCTGTTAGTGCAACTTGGACTACATGTTTCGTTTACCGAAGAACTGCACAAACCAGGGACCACCCTGGAGCTTGTTAACACCTATTAACTATTTGGAACGTTTCTCACCGCAGTGTTCTAATTGTTCGTCTGGGTGGTCGCAATTCCTATAAACAACCACGAGGTGGCAGCCATCTTGTTCGCATGAACGTAGGCAACGGTGTTTGGGCATGAATCTCATGGAACTGAAATTGGACACAGAAACTCCCGAACACCGCTGGACTTCCATCATCGCCTGCGTTCAATTCTATTCAACTTAGAAAGGCACTGCTCGGTGAAATCATTCGTCTGGATGAGGGGAACAAGCTCCAGGGTTGAACATTGACTCTGTTCGGTATTTTCTTCGTTTTCAAACTACCGAACTAGAGCGACTGCAAGGCCCGATTCTCTGGAACTGTTTTGGGCATGGCACCATGTGTGCGGTCGGTCAAAAAGAGACTTCCAGGAACTTCCTGAACCCCTGAACTGATCTGGGTGATTTATGGGGATATGTCGTGTTTTGTGGTACTTTGTGGTTTTTCTACCTGGAGATAATTGAGTTACATAATGTACTTTACTCAATTATCTCCCATGCAGAGGAGAGGGCTTGTGTGCTGTGTGTGGGAGTGTCGTACATGTAATTACTGTTCTTATTGGTTTGTAAGTTTTGTATCCCTGTATCCCACAAGGTCCATGTGGACATATACCTTGCTTGGGGACTTGCATAAATGGCCAGCTGTGGCTTCCATTAAACACACTTGTTTTACCCTTCATGAAGTCTAGGCTCATGTTTGGGGGATTGGAGAACTACATTCACTCTGGGGATTGCTATAATCTCTATCATCCCCTGAGTATAATTACTAATCTCTTGTAAGAATACAAAAAGAAAAGTCCTGCGCTCACCCCCTTCACTCCTGGGAGGCAGCAACAACTACAGTACACATCAGTTAGTACATATAGTAAAAACCAAAGAAAAAAGTTACTTGCGCTCTCTCCTTAATCCCTATGTATATTTAAACAAATGGAGGTCATTTAGTTACTCCAGTCTGTCACCGGTGTCTAGGAGTATCTCACGTGTATGTAAACTAGTTCCAGCCCTCTTCCTGAGGTTCTGTTTTGTATGCAGATTTTGTCCAGTGAAAAGGACCACATTCCGACCACAATGGAAATTCTCCTGTTTACCAAAGCCTATTTATAAATTATCATCCACTGGCTTTTCTGCAAGTACTATAGTTCATGTAAGTATTATTTACCCCCTGGCAGTGCTACCAGCCAGTGGGCAAATAGTTAAAAACCTTTGGTGAGAAAGCGCTGGCCAGCTGATACACAAGTTCAGATTTCTTTTAAACTCAGGCCAAGATTTGTAGTATTCAGTTCCAGATTTCATCTGTCCAGTGGTGTTAGATCCAGGTGAAATCCAGACCACATTCACGCCGTTTGGGGCTTCAGTTGTAAAATCCAGACATTGCTGAATAGTGTAAACAAACTCCAGATTTTGCAGTCCACATGGCCTTCTCAACATTCTTACTATTCTTGGGTATTTACCTCTCAAAGCAAGTTGCTAGGTTATCCAAACATACTAAAGTGAGAATTGAAGGTGAATTCAAAGTGACTTTCAAATTTAAGGTCAAAATAGCCAAACTGGAAAACTGAATAAAGTCAGCTATGCATTCAGTTCAGCTACTTTGACCTTAAATTTAAAATTCTGTTTGAATTCTTGCTTTACTGAATAATTCTGATCATTTGAAAATCACTGTTTTAAAAAAAAAATTTATATTTTTTTAAACTGTTAAACATTATCTGTCTTGACAATGTATTGTATTCTGCTTTTTGGGGGGTTGTTAAGTTTTGGGGGGGTTTGTACTTTTTCCTTAGCAGACATTATGTCTAGAAACAGACCTGAGCATTCAGATAAATGGCTATGATAAGCCCACCTGTTTGACATTGCTGCCAAACTGTGATATATTGTATACAGCAATCACATTATTGGCATATGGGTAGTCCGACCAGTTTATGTTTGCATTTTCCATTGGCCTCAAGGCCCTAATATGCTTTGGTAAGTGAGGTGTTACTTTTCTAATAACATTTTCTATTCTACATCTGAACCTATGTCAGTGAGATAATCAGGTTGGGGGGATGGCAAATTTCTGTTTGTTAAAATTGGAATTGTTGAACACTTCACCTGCATCTGCGTGGGCTGGAAGCTGTGCTCCAGAGGTAAGTGGAAAACATTTAATCATTGCTTCATCAAAATGTCTGCAGCATGTAAACATATATCCTGTCATATCACCGCACTATCTCTTGTCAGACAGCCTTGTTTATAGGCCACTTACAAGGATCACAGCCATTCAAAGCACTTCTTTGTGGGTTACAGTATTCACTGCTTCACTTCCAAGTGAGCAGCAGAACATTAAAAAGGCACTCTATGAATGTGTTACACCAGTGGTTCCCAAACTTTTTAGGTTCAAGGCGCCCTTAATATTTTTAATATTTTTCCAACCACTACAACTCTTGGTGTGTGTGTGTGTATATATATATATATATATATATATATATATATATATATATATATATATGTGTATGTGGTCATCACGCTACATCAGTAGCCACCTCACTGCAAACCGTAAAGTCTGGGGTCCTTGAAAAATATGTAAAGATCTTAGTATGTGAGAGAGCTGTTTTAACGACAAAAAGATAAAGGCAGTAATAGAGATACAGAAAGTAAAAACAAACCAAATTACAAATCGTTGACGCTGGAGTGAACAGTTCATCTTCACGTAACATGCAACTTGCTCTTATAAGCCACTGATCGTGTAACCCAACATTTCCCAAACTGTGTGCCAGGGTGCTGCGACGGGCACACAGGGGCGCTACAAGATATTTTCCCGGTGCTATGACCATAGCACAGGGAACCGTATCTCTCTCCCCTACCGGGTCTGCAGGACCGGAGGGGAGATCAGAGATCTCCCTCAGTGGCCTGCTAGCAGTGTAATGCTTACTAGGAATTGTGAATTACCTTGGCAAGTTCATACTTAACTGCACTAATGCACCAACAACTTGCCTGGGAATGGTCAGAGAATCACCAGAAAAAATGGAAGTTATTGAAGGAAATGCTTAGCACTGCACCAACTCTGCAATTCTTTGATCCAAAAGCAAAAACAAAGTTGTCAACTGATGCTTCACAGAATGGATTGGAAGCAGTTCTATTTCAAAATCAAGGTTCTGGATCAATGCCTGTGGCTTATGCATCAAGGGCATTAACGGATACAGAAAAATCATATGCACAAATTGAAAAAGAAACACTGGGACTAATTTATGGGTGTGAACAATTTCATGTTTATTTGTATGGAAGAGTATTCTCAGCAGAAACGGATCACAAACTTTTGATTCACATCTACCAAAAGGGCTTGATAGATGCACCTCCAAGAATTCAGCGCTTGTTGCTGAGACTTCAAAGGTATGTCAAGCTAGAGACATTTTGTACTGGTCAAACATGAATGAAAACATTGAGACAATAATCACTCAATGCTGGACTTGCCAAAAATTCAGACCTCAGTTACCTAAAGAGCCTATACTGGATACACACTTTCCTTTGGCACCCTGGGAAAAGTTAGGAATGGACTTGTTTGCTTTAAAAAATAAGCATTATAGCTTAGTCATGGACTACTTCTCTAATTACCCAGAGATAGCATTATTGGAAGATGAGTCAGCAAGTACTGTGATCAAAAAAGTGAAAGCAATTTTGGCAAGACATGGCATTCCAAGAGTAATATTATCAGACAATGGTCCTCAATTTAATTGTCTAGAGTTTAGGGTTTTTGCCAGTACCTATGAATTTGAACTTCGAACTTTCAGCCCAGGATATCCGCAAGCAAATGGATTAGCAGAAGCTGGAGTGAAGATAGTGGAAAAACATACTACGTAACTCAACAGAAGCAGACGCGGATCCATGTCTGGCTCTTCTTAGCTATAGAGCTACCCCCTTAAAATGTGGGAAGTCACTGGCAGAATTATTTTTCAGACAGCTGGTCACACGAGTACCAGTCTTGAAACCTTGAAAAAGGTTCCCACAAAAACATGTAATCGCAACCAGATAGAAACTATGAATAGGAATGAATACTATGACCGAGCTGCAAAGTCTTTGGAGAATCTTCAGGTACAAAGTCCTGTACGAGTATAAGGTTTAAAGCACTGGAATACTGAAGGGATAGTTATCCATCAATATTCTTCAAGATTATATGTAGTTCAAAACAATGATGGGCAATGCTTACGTAGGAATCGTAGACATTTGATGGCTATTCCATCAGATCACAACAATTTGACAGTGAAACCTGTGAAGATACATCGAACACTCCATTGCAGCTGGAGAATGAAGATGCCAGAGAAACTTTACAAAGCTCGAATGACTTGCCTGCTAGTGATGCAAAGCAAACAATGTCAGGTCGATATATCAAAAAAACCTAATTGTCTCATTAAACAATGGTAAAAGAGACTGAAGTTAAATTAATAATTATTTAAAAACAAAAAATATTCCCCCTTCTCTGTTATTACCTTGCAGGGAGGTGGGCATGCTGAACTCTAGCGACCCAGTATGCTGGGAATCTGGTCGGCGCCTCCACCGGGTGCAATACCATAAGTAACTGTCTTGTGAGCTCAGGCACTTAGTGTCAGAGCTTTCCTGTAGTAATCTGTGGCAACGTTCTGATTGGCCGGAGCTCGAAGGACAGCTACATATTGCATTTTGTATGAGAAAGCTCTGCTGTAATAAATCTCATAATAATGATGTAGTGTGTGTGTGGTGTCTGTGTGTGATATGTATGCTATGTGTTGGCTGTGTGTAATATTTGTAATTGTATTGACTGTGGGTGATGTGTGCTTATATGAAGAGCAGAGGTCGGGTACTGGTAGGTGGGGAGCAGGAGGCATGGTGGGGGAGCAGGGAGCACAGTGGTAGCTGGGGGCAGAGTGATGGTGTATTGGGAGGTTGGGGAGCAGGGGCACAGTAGTGATAGGTGGGGGAGCATAGGTAGTGGTAGGTGGGGAGCAGGGGGAGCAGTGGGGGGAGTAGTGGTAGGTGGGGAGCAGGGGGAGCAGTGGGGAGCAGCTGTAGTGGGAGCAGGGGGCACAGTGGGTATCTGGGGGAGCAGAGGCACAGTGGGAAGGTGAAGCAGGGGCACAGAAGGTAGCTGGGGGAGAGGGGGCACAGTTGTAGCTGGGGGAGAGAGGGCATAGTGGTAGCTGGGGGACCAGCTGGCACAGTGCTGGCAGCTGGGGGAGCAAGGGTAGGGTATTGGTAGGTTGGGGAGGAGGGGCACAGTGGTAGGTGGGGGGAGCAGGGGGCACAGTGGGGGAGCAGGAGTAGTGTAGTAGTAGGTAGGAGAGCAGGGGCACAGTGGGTAACTGGGGGAGCAGAGGCACAGTGTGAAGGTGAAGCAAGGGCACAGTGGCTAACTGGGGGAGCAGAGGCACAGTGGGAAGGTGAAGCAGGGGCACAGAAGGTAGCTGGGGGAGAGAGGGCATAGTGGTAGCTGGGGAAGCAAGGGGCACAGTGGTGGTAGGTGGGGGAGCCGAGGTAGTGTAGTGGGGGAGCAGGGGTAGTGTAGTAGTAGGTAGGAGAGCAGGGGCACAGTGGGTAACTGGGGGGAGCAGAGGCACAGTGGGAAGGTGGGGGAGAGGGGGCACCATGGTAGTAGCTGGGGGAAAGGGGGCACAGTAGATAGGTGGGGAAGCAGGGGGTACAGTGGGAAGGTGGGGGAGAGGGGGCACCA